CCCCCCGGGGCCCCCCCCCCCCGGGGGCCCCCAGGGGGCCCCCCAGGGGGCCCCCCAGGCCGGGGGGGCCCCCCTGCTGCTGCGGAGCTGCAAGCGCGGGGAGAGTGTCCTTGAAGACCTGTACGTACACCCGAGAAGCCGGCAGCAGCAGCAGCAGCTTTTGGAGCAGCAGCAAATCTCCGGGCGCGAGTTTGAGGTGTCTGTACACCCTGGGGTGTACAGACACCTCGTCTTCCGCCAACTTGGAGTCTTCAATCAAAACTCCGACACTTTTTCTTTTTCTTCTTCCCCGAAGTTCGACGGGAACTCCGGGCTGCAGCAGCAGCAGCTGCGCGCGCTTCGGGTGTACGTACACCGCAGCCACGTCCCCCCCGTGGCTCGGCCCCAGCCTCAGCAAGTTCGGGGCCCCCAAAACGGACCCTTTTGGGGGGCCCCCTTCCCCGGGGGGGCCCCCCGGGGGGCCCCCGGGGGGGCCCCCTGAGGGGGGCCCCTCCCCGGCGGGGGGGCCCCCCTTGCTGAAAATCCCGCCCCCACGCAAAGAGCCCAGCCACCGAGGGGGGGCCCCCCGGGACGGGGGCCCCGGGGGGCCCCCTGCTGCCAGGGGCCCCCCGGGGGCCCCCATTGCTGCTGGGGGGCCCCCGGCGGCGGGGGGCAGCAGATTGGCCGCAGGGAGGCGGCGGGAAGAGGGCTGCGGCAGCGCGGGGGCCCCCGAGGGAAGCAGCAGCAGCAGCAGCAGCAGCAGCAGCAGCAGCAGCGCACAGGGGCCCCTCAGGGGCAGCGGGGGGGGGCCCCCAGGGGCCCCCAGCAGCCTGCTGCTGCCCAGCATCAACGAACCCCAAACCCTAAACCCTAAACCGCCAGAAGCCCGCGACGCAGAGGACGCCTGGGCCTCGCCGCGCAGCAGCAGCAGCAGCAGCAGCAGCAGCAGCAGCAGCAGCAGCAGCGGGGGATCTGAGTGCGGGCTTTGTCGCCTGTCTGTCTTTTCTTTGTTCTTTTGTCTTCTTCTTTTCAGAATATTAAATTTAAATGCCTTTTTATCTTTTCTGAGAAACTCCAAACAAAGAAAGACAAGAATGGCCCCAGCTGTGGGGCCCCCCGAGGCAGCAGGGGCCCCCCTGCGGCGGTCTCAGAAGCAAATAAGGCTCTGCTGCTGCCTTTATTATTATTTTCTTTTTATTCTTTTTATTTTTTTAATTTATATTTCCATTTGCTTTCATTTATTTGCCATTTAACTCCAGAAACGACAAGGCTTGCGCATGCCTTTACTAGAGGGGCTCCTACCCGCAGCCCCCTAAGGGGGGCCCCTGGGGGCCCCCCAGGGGCCCCTGGGGGGCCCCTGGGGGCCCCCGGGGGCCCCCAGGGTCTTTTTGCAGTCATGCTGCGAATTGCATCTTATTGGCGAAAAGCTTTAATAATTTTATTTGATGGATTGAAATATATTTTAATAAAAAAGGTATTTATTTTACTTAGCCTTTGGTGCAACATAAGGCCCTGGGGGCCCCCATAGGATTTTCTTGTACCTAGGGGCCCCCGGAGGGGCCCTGGGGAGAAACAAGGGGGCCCCTGGGCCTCCCTAGGGGCCCCCAGAGTCCTTGGGGGGCCCCTTGACCTGCTGGGGGCCCCCCTGGCAGGGGCCCCCCTGTGCCCCCAGCTGTACCCTATAAACCCTCTATGGGCCCCTTGAGCTTACCCAGGGTTTCTCTGCAAACCCTTTCAGGGCCTGCCACAGGGGCCCCCTGGGGGGGCCCCCGGGGGGCCCCCTGCAGGGCCCTTATGGGCCCTCAAGGGGCCGCGCTCGGGGGCCCCTTGAGGGCTGCCCCTGGGGGCCCCTTGGGGGCCCCCTCAAGGGCCCCCTTCGGGGCTCTTCTCCGGGCTGCTCGAAGGCCTCAGGGGGCCCCCCTTGGGGCCCCCGGGGGGTTTGCTTCGGGGCAGCAGCAAACTGCTGCCAAGTGCTGCAGCAAGGGGGCCCCCCTGTTGCTTCGGCGAGGTTTAGGGGCCCCCCTGTCCTTCCCTGTGAGGCAATGCCGTCCCCTCCCCAGGCTCTGCAGCAACAGCAGCTGCAGCAGCAGCAGCAGCAGCAGAAACAGCAGCAGCAGCAGCAGCAGAAGCAGCAGCAGCAGCAGCAGCAGCAGCAGCAGCAGCAGCAGCAGCAGCAGCAGCAGCAGCAGCAGCCCCCGTGAGGGGCCCCCACCTTCCACAGCGACCCCTCCCGAAGCTGTGCAAGTCGGGGGGCCCCTGGGGGCACCCCGGGGGGCCCCCAGGGTGACCCCTGGGGGCCCCTCCTGTACCCTGGGGGCCCCCACTATTGAGATAAGGCATCTCGTGGCTGCAGCAGAACGAGCAGCAGCAAAAGGCTGCGGCTGCTGCCCTTCTTTCTGGAGCCAGGCAGCAGCAGCAGCAGCAGAAGCCTCTTTCAACCTCACCTGGGGCGTCAGGGGCCCCTGGGGCCCCTGGGGCCCCCAGGGGGGCCCCCAGGGGGGCCCCCAGGGGGGCCCCCCTCAGGGGCCCCCCTTGGCAGATCCCCCCCTGCAAATTGCCCTGCCTCTCCTTCGGCCCCTACTGAGGGCCACCGTGAGGCTCTCAGTGGCCCTCAAAGCTGCTGCAGAGGCGGCATTGGGGTCCTTGGGGGCCCCCAGGGGGCCCCTGGGGGCCCCCGGGGGGCCCCTGGGGGCCCCCAGGGGCCCCCTGGGGCCCCCCCTGGGGCCCTTGGGGACTCCCAGCGGGGCCCCGGGGGCCCCCGAAAGGCCCCCGGAGTTCCCCAGGGGGCCCCTGGGGCCCCCCTGGGGAACTCCTGGGGGGCCCCCGGGGGCCCCCAGGGGTGGGCCCCGCAAAGAGGCCAGCTGTTGTGGGGCCCCAGAGGGCTGCGAGGGGGGCCCCCAGGGGCCCCCGGGGGCCCCTGTTGCAGAGATGCTGCAGCTGTACCACAAGTTGCTTTTTTGTTTTCTGGAGACCCTGCGCTGCGCCCTTAGGGCTGCCAGCAGGCACCAGAGGGGCCCCCAGGGGGGCCTCGTGGGGGCCCCCCTGTCCATTAGGGAAGTGGCAGCAGTTGCTGGGTCTTCTAAAGGCATCAATGCAGCTCTCCAGCTCCTCTCACACATCCAATCATCAGGGGCCCCCATAGGGGCCCCCACGGGGGCCCCCACGGGGGCCCCCACAGGGGCCCCCACAGGGGCCCCCACAGGGGCCCCCACAGGGGCCCCCACAGGGACCCCTATAGCAGACCTCGCAGGGGGACCCACAGGGGCCCCCACAGGGGACCCTTCAGGGGTCCCCACAGGGGCCCCCATATGGAATACTTCTGGAGGGTACTGCCAGGGCCCAGAAGCCCCTTTTGGGGGCCCCCTTGAGAGTCCCCAGAAGGCCATTGGGGCCCCACCAGAGGCCCCTGACAGGGAGGGCCCCCATTTTGCCGCGCCCCCCGAAAGGGTATTGGGGCCCCGAGCTGCTGAGGCTGCAGCAAGAAGCTGCTGCAGGGACTTTGCTGCAGTCCTTGGGGTCTAGTCTCCCGCCGGGGGCCCTTTGGGGGTCCTTTTGGGGGCCCCTAGACCGCCCCACTTGGGTGGGGAGGGGGGGGGCCCCCACGGGCCTTTCGGGGTCTCCCAGTTTGCTGCTGAGGGCCCGAGTGCCTCTTGTGGGGCTGCTGCAGATCTTAGCTGCCTTCCGGGGGCCCCCTAGGGGGCCCCCTGGGGGCCCCCTAGGGGGGCCCCCTGGAGGCCCCCCTGGGGGGCCCCATGAGGGGCCCCCTGAGGAGGTGGCCCCGGGGGGGGCCCCCAGCGGGCCTTTTCGAGGGGTTGCAGGGGGCCCCCAAAGGGGGGCCCCCGAGTTCTGTCTAGTGAGGGCCCGCATGGCTTTGCTGCAGCTTCTTGAGAGACTCATTTGGGAGGCCCAGGGGGACTGGGGGGCCCCCGCAGGGGCCCCCATTATTCAGACAAAGGGGCTGATTCCGTGGGGTGCTGCTGCGCCAGAGCAGCAGCAGCAGCTGCTGCAGCAGCTGCAGCAGCTGCAGCAGCAGCAGCAGCGCCGGCTGCAGCAGCAAGACGCAGACGAAATGGCCGAGGTGGAAAGGCTGGTATTTGCTGCTGCAGTTCTTTCAGAGGCCCGCGCAAGAGGGGGGCCCCCCAAGGGCTCTCAGGGGCCCTTTTTCTTGGTAAAAACCCCTACCCCCAAAACATTTAGGGTTTAGGGTTTAGGGTTTAGGGTTTAGGGTTTAGGGTTTAGGGTTTAGGATGTTGGCTGGGGGGTTGCTTTCTGTTTCGCTTCTCAGGCACTTTCTCTGGTGAGTGAAGCCCTTATTAAAAGGCTAGACATATTTCTTTCAACTCCCCCGGAGGCCCTGCGGGGGCCCCTGCAGGGGGCCCCCTGGGGGGCCCTGCAAGGGGCCCCCTGGGGGCCCCTCCAGGGGGCCCCCCGGGGGCCCCACGCCCAAGAAGACCCCCTGTGGGGCCCCCCACCTCCACTTTTCCCCGAAGCTGCGCTGCACGAGCTGCTTCCTGCGGGGCTGCTGGGGCCCCCAGGGGCCCCCGGCCCTGCAGCAATATGTTTGCTGCCGCTGCTGCTGCTGCAGTCTTTTGCTGCTGGGGCCTTTGTCCACGACGGGCTCGTCTCGGGCATTTGCCACTACCTGGTGAGGCCCCTCAGGGGGCCCCCCGAAGAGTGGGGGCCCCTCGAGGAGGGGCCCCCACAAGTCCTGGGGGGCCCCCAAGAAAGGGGGGCCCCCATGGGTTTTCATTCGCGGGCCCTAGGGGCCTGCGGGGGCCTCCAGGGCTCCCGGAGGGGCTCCTGGGGCCCCCAAGGGGGCCCCCAAGGGGGCCCCCAGGGGGGCCCCAAGGGGGGCCCTCAGGAGGGCCCCCAAGGGGGCCCCCAGCCGTCATGTTTGCTGGACTATTGGCCCTCAGCTGCCGTCTGCGACCTTGCGAGGTACTTGAGGCTTTTGGGGGCCCCCAATCCTCCCTTTTTTCGGTTTTTGTTTTCTCATTACTTGCCTCCGGGGGCCCCCCAGAAGGGCCCCGGGGGGGCCCCCCCTGGGGGCCCCCAGAGGGGCCCCCAGAAGGGCCCCCACAAAAGCCTGCATGCTGGGCGGCCTCTCTGGGGCCCCCGGAGCCTCCGTTGCAGCAGCAGCAGCAGAAGCAGCAGCAGCAGCAGCAGCAGCAGAGTGGGAAAGTCGCCATCGCTAGCAGCAAGAGCAGCAGCCTTCACTGCAGCAGCAGCACAGAAGGGCATGGCCGATGCTGCAGCAGCAGCTGGGGCTCTGGACCCTTCGGAAGTTGCTGCTGGGGGGCCCCCCTGGGGGCCCCTCTTAGATGATTGGGACTCAGCAGCTGGTTGGCTGCTGCGGCTCTCGCGGCGGCAGCGGCGGCTGCTGCGGCTGCTGCAGCAGCAGGGGGGCCCCCCCCTTGGGGGCCCCGGGGGGCCCCGGGGGCCCCTCCAAACCCACATTCGCAGCTTCTCAAGCTGCAGCAGGCAGCAGCTGCTGCAGCTGCTGCTGGCAGCAGCAAACTCCGGGGCTGTTCCCCCCAGCCCGCAGTGGCTGCAGTACTTAGCAGCACTTCTCAGGGACGGCCCAGGGGGCCCCACAGCACGCAGGGAAGCAGCAGCAGCAGCAGCAGCAGCAGCAGCAGCAGCAGCAGCAGCAGATATTGAAACCCTAGCTCTGGCGTTGCCGTACTTTCCTCCTTTGTCCCTCTTGCCAGCCTTTTGGGTCTCTTCAAAAGAAATTAAAAACCCCAAAAGGGCCCTCTCAGGGAACTGGGGGGCCCCAGGGGCCCCCACGTGCTGCGAGACTCAAAGGGTTGTGCTTGGGGGCCCCCAGGGGCCCCCAAGCACATCAGGGGCCCCTCCGAGGCCCCAGGGGGGCCCCCTGGGGGCCCCCTGGGGCCTCTCTGGTTTTCTTTGTGGGCCTCTTATGCCAAATAAATTAGCTGCTGTCTCTCTCTCGGCCTTGCCGAGTTTGCTGCTAGGGCTGGTGCTGCAGGCGCCGCCTCCCCAGCAGCAGCAGCAGCAGCAGCAGCAGCAAAACAGCAGCAGCAGCAGCAGCAGCGTGCGGTGGCGGGCACTTGGGGCTGTTGCTGCTGCTCTAGAGAACACAGCTGGAGGCCTTTTGGCTTTGTGGCAGCAGCAATTTGCCCCGCTGCACCTTCGAGGCCTGCCTCTTGCTGCAGTCTTCGATATCAGCAGCAGCAGCAGCAGCAGCAGCAGCAGCAGCAGCAGCAGCCAACAGGAACACCTTGCTGCTGAGGGGGCCCCAGCAGCTGAGGGGGCCCCCAGGGGGCCCCCAGCAGCAGCTGTTACGGGCAAAGGAGTTGCCAGGCTCTGTAGACAAGCAGCAATTGCCTCTTTGGCTCTTGCGCACTTAACTAGGGCCATTCCCGTCACAGCAGCAGCAGCAGCAGCAGCAGCAGCAGCAGCAGCAGCAGGAGAAACAGCATTAGGAGCAGCAGCGGGAACAGCAGCAGGAACAGCAGCAGTCGTAGGAGGGGGGGCAGCCGCAGAAAGAGCCGCAGTGGCAGCAGCGGGAGCAGCAGCAGCAGCAGCAGCAGAAGCAGCAGCAGCAGCAGCAGAAGCAGCAGCTGCTGCTGCTGCTAGCCAGCAGCAGGGCCGCCAGCAAGGGCCCTTGCTGCGGAGACAGAAGCAGCGAAAAGCTTTTGCTGCTTCTCTTTCTGTCTCCTGTCTCCTTCAGCTGCTGCCGCTGCAGTCGCTGCGCCACCTGCTGCTGCTGCTGCTGCTGGCTTCAGACCTTTCCCTTTGGGGGGCCCCCGGGGGGCCCCAGCAGCTCGCGGGAGGCATCACTGAGGCCATTTTAGACCTTTTAGAGCAACTACAGCAGCAGCAGCAGCAGCAGCAGCAGCAGCAGCAGCTCTTGCAGCGTGAAAGAGCCCCTTTCCTTTTGCCAGAGGGCCAGCAGTGTGCAGCAGCAGCAGCAGCAGCAGCAGCAGCAGCAGCAGCACTTCGGACTCAGCAGCGCCTGGAGATCCTGACTGCCTTAGAGGAAGCTTGGGGGACACAAAGTCATGAGCCACTGCAGCAGCAGCAGCAGCAGCAACAGCAGCAGCAACAGCAGCAGCACTGTTTAGATGAGGGGCCTTCGGCCTCGCAGTTCCAGCGCGAAGTAGCCGCAGCGCTCGAGGGCCTCCGCAGCAGCAGCAGCAGCAGCAGCAGCAGCAGCAGCAGCTGTGGGGCCCCCTACCCCAGCCGCAGCAGCAGCAGCTGCGGGGGGCCCCCACGTCCCTTGCAGCTTAGAAAAGAGGTACCTGTGGGCCCCTATTATATTGACATTTTGTGGGGGCCCCTCTGAAGCTGCTGTTTGGGGGGCCCCCCAGAAAGGTTGGGGGGCCCCCCTGGGGGGGCCCCTGCTGCTTGCTGCGCTGCAGCAGGGGGCCCCACATCTCTGCTGCTGCAGCAGCCGCAGCAAGCGAACTGAACTTCAGTAGTGAGGGCCTGCTGGCCCGCGCGCTAAGCTAGGGTTTAGGGTTTAGGGTTTAGGGTTTTCGTTGGGGGCCCCATAATGGCCACTAGACCCTCTTTTTAAGTCACTAATTGCTAAAAGAAATAGTCGGAAAGAGCCCTTGGGGGCCCTGCGGCATGGGGGCCCCCCTGTTTTGGGGGCCCCCGCCGAATTGGGGGCCCCCAAAACAGGGGCCCCCGCGGAGTATGAGGCCCCCCTGTTTGGGGGCCTCGGCGGAGTGGGGGCCCCCCTGACAGGGGCCCCTGCGGAGTAGGGGGCCCCCAACACATGGGGGCCCCCGCGGAGTAGGGGCCCCCTGTTTTGGGGGCCCCCGCGGAGTGGGGGGCCCCTCGTTGGGGGCCCCCGGGGAGGGGAGGGCCCCCTGAGCCTTTACGGGGCTGCTCAGGGGGCCCCAAAAAGAGGCCCTGGGCCCCAGCCCCTGCTGCCCCTAAACAAATCAGCCAGACTAAATAAGAAAAACCTAAAGCAACAAAATAGGGCACAGGGGGGCCCCCCCAAACGCAGGGGGCCCCTAGCTAGCCCCAAGCAGGGGGGCCCCATGGCCCACGCAGGGGGGGTGTGGGGGCCCCCGCAGTAAGCTTTAACAACTGGGGGGCCCCCGCGGCTCCCCGGGAACCCCTGGGGGCCCCCCGAGGACCCTCAGAAGCCCCCGGGGGGCCCCCAGGGGCCCCCAGGGGCCCCCAGGGGCCCCCAGGGGCCCCCAAGTTTAGGAGGCCCCACAGTCCCTCCCTTTGGCAGCTCGCAGGGGCAGCCTGCTGCGGGGCCTTCGCTCTGTGCTGCTGCTGTCAAACCAGACCAAATCGTTGGGGGCCCCTGGGGATAGTTGGGGGCCCCCTGGGTATTCAGGGGGCCCCCAACCATCCCTTAAGGGCCCCCTGAACATCCAGGGGCCCCCTTGGGGCCCCCCTGGGGCCCCCCTGGGGCCCCCCTGGGGCGGAATTTATAAGAATGCTGCGGCTAGGCTGCAGCTGCCGCGGCGGGTTGAGTCTCTTGCGGAGTCCGAGGGGGCCCCCGAGGGGGGCCCCTGAAGAAGGGCCCTCAGGAGGTCCCTCCTGCTCTCAAGGGGCCCCTCACTTAACTCAAAAGGCAGGGGGGGCCCCCCCCGGGCAGGCAGCTCACTGGGGAGGGGCCCCCCGTCGGAGACCGCTGCGTAGGGTCTGGGGAGGGGCCTCTTGGGGGCCCCCCCACCCAGGGGGCCCCGGGGGGGCCCCCTCGGGGGGCCCCCCGGGGCCCCTCCGTGGGGCCCCGCGGGGCCCCTAAAGAGACGAACTGTTCGAAACGGAAAAGAACGGGCAGAATGGGGCAAAGAGAAAGAGCCCCCGCCTAAAGACAAAGGCAACGAGGAGGGCTCCATGGGGGCCCCTGAGTGCGGAAAAGGGCCGAGAGGAGGCCCACTTAGCGGCTCTGGCAGCACGTTATCGCGATGAGGCTCCGCTGCTGCTGCTGCTGCTGCTGCTGCTGCTGCTGCAGTGAAAGCGGGAGAAGAGGCCAGGGGGCCCCTCTGCGTCCCATATGCTGGAGAGAAGGGGCCCCCCGAGGGGCCCCCCCAGCGGGGACTGTCGGCAAAAGGACTTTCGTCCCATCTACCTGTTTGGCTTCCGAAGGGGCCCCCGCGGACAAACTGGGGGCCCCTGTCGAATGTGGGGGGCAGCAAAGGGGGGCTGGGGGCCTCCAGCGCCACGAGGGGCCCCCCGGGGGCCCCCCCAGGGGGCCCCCGGGGGGCCCTCCTGGGGGCCCCCCCCGCAGCAACGGGGGCCCCCACAAAGGACCCCATAGGGGGGCCCCCCACCCACTGCGGGCGCCTCCAGCTAAGGCGGCTGCCCGAAGACGCAGTCGAGGGGCCCTCAGTGGGGGGGCCTCCCGTTGAGGGGGGCCCCCCTGTGGAGGGGCCCCCTGTGGTGGGGGGCCCCCCCATGGAGGGGGGCCCCCCTGTGGAGAGGGGCCCCCCTGTGGAGAAGGGGCCCCCTGTGGAGAGGGGCCCCCCAGGGAGCAACGGGGGGCCCCCGGCGGAGTGGGGGGCCCCCCTTGAAAGAGGGTTTTCTGCGGACAGGGGGGCCCCCCTGTAGGGGGGGCCCCCCTCTTCTGAACTGTCCAAACGAAAAGAAGAAGGGGTACCCAAAGAAGACCCACTGCTGCTTCTGAGGGCCCCCAATACTTCAGCCCAGGGGCCCTCCCCCTGTGGGGTCACTTGGGGGGCCCCCTCTCTGGGGCCCTGGCCCCACGGGAAGGGCGGCTCGGGTGCAGCAGCAGCAGCAGCAGCAGCTGCTGCTGCTGCTGCTGCAGCGGGGGACGACTCGGGGCTAAAGCTCGAGGCCTGCGGCCGCAGCCACGAGGGCCACGAGAGCGCAGCAGCAGCAGCAGCTGCTGCTGCTGCTGCTGCTGCTGAGGTCTCTATCCCGCTGCCCGAAGGGGCCACTGAGGGGGGGCCCTCAAACTGGGGACCCTGCGGCCGCGGCGCTGCTGCTGCTGCTGCTGCTGTTGCTGTTGCTGCTGCTGCTGCAGGGCCTCCACCTTTAGCTGGGGGCCCCAAATCTGCTGTGGGCGGCGCCGGCAGCAGCAGCCTAGGGGGCCCCCCTGGGGGCCCCTTTGTGGGCGCGTTCTCTGCAGGGAGTCCTCCCTCTGTTGCTGCTGCTGTTGCTGTTGCTGCTGCTGCTGCTGCTGCTGCTGCTGCTGGGGCCGGCTTTAGGGGGGGCAGCCTCCGCGTTTGGGCCCTCAAAGGGGCCCTCGAAAGAGCTGCTGCTTCTTGCTGGAGGGGCCCCTCGTTTTTAGTGAGCTGCGGCGCCTTGTGGGTGTCTTCCCTGCTGCTGCTGCTGCTGCTGCTGCTGCTGCTTCTGCTGCTGCTGCTGCTGCTTCTGCTTCTCTTGTTGCTGCTGCTGCTGCTGCTGCTGCTGCTGCTGCTGCTGCTGTCGCTGCTGCTGCTGCCTTGTGGGAGGGGCCCCCGGGGCGGGGCGTAGAGGGCCCCGATTTGCTGCAGCAGCAGCTGCGCGTCGCTCGGCAGCTTTTTGAAAGCTTGCCGCAGCAGCTGCGGCTGCAGCAAAGCAGGACTTTCCCGAACTGCTGCTGCTTCTTCCGGCAGCAGCAAACTCACTGCGTCCATCACCGTCAGGTCCAGCGGGCCTGCACGCACGCGCTCGCGCTGCAGCACGCTGCTGCTGCTGCTGCTGCTGCAGCAGCAAGAGCGGCAGCAGCAGCAGCAAGAGCGGCAGCAGCAGCAGCAAGAGCGGCAGCAGCAGCAGCAAGAGCGGCAGCAGCAGCAGTGACAGCAGCAACAGCACTGGCCACTCCCGCGCTCTCCGCCGCAGCAGGGCGCACGAACGCGTCCCCAAACCCTAAACCCTAAACCCTAAACCCTCGACGCGCAGTCCCGCGACCCTAACCTCAAACCCTAGATTCTAAACCCCAAACCGTAGACCCTGAACTCCAAACCCTAAACCCTAAACCCTAAACCCTAAACCCTCGTCGCTGGGTCCCGCGCCCCAACCCGAAACCCTAAACCCTAAACCCTAAACCCTAAACCCTAAACCCTGCGGACGGTCGATGTGGATGTTGGTGGAGGGTCCGATTCTTGCTGCTCCTGCTGCTGGCCAAACTGGCAGCGAAACATTAACTTTAAAAAGAGTATCTCCTGCAGCAAAGAGGCAGCCAGCAGCAAAAAGGCGGGGCCTAGCAGCAGCACTTGCGAGAAAAGGCGACAGCAAACACCGCCACAGCCGCTCGCACTCGCTCTCCCCCGCTGCTGCTGCTGCTGCTGCTGCTGCTGCTGCTGCTGCTGCTGCTGCGGGGGCAGGCGGTGCAGCGGGGGTGCAGATCGCCGCCGCGGGCTCGCTGCTGCTGCTCCCAGCGCCGGGACCTCCCGCTGCTGCTGCCGAATAGGAGATATTCCCACAGAGTCGAAGTCGCCGTAGGGGTCCACGCAAAGAGCAATTTCCTAAAAAGATAAAAAGAAAAATTGCAAAAGACAAAAATTAAAAAAAGAAAAAAGAAAAAAGATATTTAATTAAACAAAAAGACAAAAATGATTTAAATAAACAAAGAAGTAGGAAACAAGGAGATAAAACGGAGACGAAAAAGAAGCAAAATGACAAAAAAGTAAAAGGAGATAATTCAGGAGATGGAAAAAATTAAAATAAAATAAAATAAAATAAAATAAAATAAAATAAAATAAATAAAATAAATAAAATAATGAGGAGGAAGCTTAAAGAAGAAAAGGAGATTGAAGAAATAAAAGGATATGAAAGAAAACAAAAGGAAGGAAATAGAAGAAATAAGAGATTAAAATTTTAAGAAAATAAAAAGAAATAAAAAGAAAAAGATAAAAGAAAAAGGATTAAATGGAACAAAAAGGAGATGAAAGAAAATAAACAAAAAGAGAAAAAGACAAACGAGAATAAAATAAAAAAGGAAATAAAAGGAAATAAACAGAAAATAAAGAAAGAAAAAAATGACACACATAAAAGAATAAAATAAATAAATAAAATAAATAAGCCAAAACAAACAAAACAAACAAACAAAACAATAAAACAAATAAAACAAACAAAACAAACAAAACACTAAAACAAACAAACAAACAAAACAAACAAAACAAAACAAATAAAACAAAACAAACAAACCCTTACAAATAAACAAACCAAACAAACAAACAAACAACAAACAAACAAATAAGTAAATAAACAAATAATAATAAATAAACAAATAAACAAACAAACAAACAAACAAACAAACAAACAAACAAATAAACAATAATAATAAACAAATAAA